TATTCTTTTTTGCCGACTGCTTTCCTAAGGCAGCAAAAGCCGTTAACACCAAAACCACCGACTGAAATTCCGGCGAATTAATCGGGTATCAAATGCGACCATTGATGCAAAATAACTGGGCAGTGTTGATCACAAAGCATCAATCTCTCAAAGTGTGTCAGCATTTTCTTTCATTTCTTTTGGTTATCCTTTTATAGATCTGTCAAGTTCCACCATCGAAAAATTCGCGTGATGTGCTGCGTTAGAGACTGCCACGAGGAAAGTATTTGAAATAAAAGAATTCGCCGATACGTTGTTGTTTCGGATCTATCAGTGAGTGTTCTGGGCAAATTTCATGGAAAACCGTCGATTCTACATACCCTATTAATTCATTTAAAGAGGAAGGATTCTCTAGAAAAACGGGTGCAAGTTTTCGCCTTATAAAGATTTCTAAACTTGTCACGCCTTCTCAGAGGTCAACTCAAAATGCCGCTAGCCAATGAAATAACAGAACCCCTTGCAAAATAATAAGCAAAATCATTTTTTTGTTAATCTGGATGAATGATGACACTGGCATTTTGCCAGCTGAATTTGGAATGCTTTCTTCCTAATCTGGCTCAACAAATCTATGTAACACAAGTCATGATAAGTAATGTATGTTAATTTATGGTAGTCACACCTTTCCTTCATTCCTTCCTCTCTCCCTGCCTCACTCACAGCACCCCCCCACCCTGTCCCCCCACACCCCTACCCCTTAACAGCTGAACCCACTAGAATGGTCCACTGGGCACAATTAACTGCAGTAGCGAGGTTTCTATAACAGTTAAAGGCATGGATGCATCCATTTGGTGTGACAGGTCTGGACTGAAGGCTCAATTTCCATCACTTCCTCCAGTGTAGCCTGCAGGTAGCGTCACAGGTAGCGTCTTCAATGCAGACTACCTCAAGTCCAATCTACATTTCTTTCCTAAACAGCAGCTGGCAATCAAGCCATAGAGGCCTAGAATGAACGTGTAGTTCCAGAAAATATCCATACCCACCCCAAGGAAGGTTAACAGAAATTCCAAGTGGGAGGGGCGTTTCAAAAGCCCAATATAAAAAAGAGGGTCTCAAAAGCCCAATATAAAGGAAAGTATGGCACTAAAATGGAATTTCCAGAGGGATGGGGGTTCAAGCTAAAAAATCTTCCTTGGGAGGGGTATGGATATTTTCTAGAACAACACAATGCCTTGCTCAAGCTCAATAGTAAATGATATATAGATTTAGCCAAGCCCAAAAGCGGAGTTCCTGGGTCGGGTGGTTCAAATCTTGATTAAGCTAACCCAGGATAAGCAGCAATTTGATCTGAGTTTTGTAACTTTGCAGTGAGTTTTTCTGTTGTTTGGCCTTCTGTTTTGAATTTGAATAATACCAAAATACACAAAACAAAAGCAGTGAAAGACATTTGTATACAAGAAAAATTTATACTTAAGTGAACTTTTGATCCTGGGTTAGCTTTCATCAGCTTCCAAACAACTGTTTACAACAAATTAACCTGACATGAACCGCAATCCAACCGAAAACTAGCACTTCATCAGTGGTCGACTTTAAAAAACATGTGACCCCGATGAACTCTAAACTTGAGCCTGCAATATGGTCACATGATTTTGGTCAGCGGATACCTTGTTTTGACAGGTGTCAATTGACCATAAAATGGACTTCCAATATCAAAGAATTACACTACAAACCAAGGCTGCATGTCTCTGTCAACCTAACAGCTGGAGCACGGACAATCTTGCAAGACTCCGCCGTTATCGTCATCGTCATCATCGTCATGTGTACGCGCCCATGAGCAATACCGCTAGCCATGATAACCACGAGAAAATCAATGCATGAGTTTCCTTTACTTTCCTATATGGGTATGGTGCTCCACTTGGTGGTCCTTCCGGCCACCAGAGCTCCGCTATAATCATACTATTCAGTAGCAACAAAAGTTCTGGAAGGAGGAGGTTAAGGGATCTGAACATCTGAACTTCCTACTTTCCACACCCTTTATTCCCTGCTGCATTGTGAAAACCCAATTTATTATAATTATAATTTTAAAACTTATTTTACCAGTAACATGAACATTTTAATTCCATGCACTTAATATTGCAAATGGCAGCTGAAGAAAACTAAAACCTTCTAGGACAAGTGGTCATTCATTCAGGACAGGGGGTCTTAACAGGTATTTTAAAATCCCTTGATCTCTCCAGAGTCAAAATTACAAACTTGGTGAACTTGGTTAGCTCTGCTGAACTGGATCAAATTAACTCTAGGCTAAACCAAGAAAATCAATTCAGAATTATAATTTCTCAACCCAAAACTGAAATAAATTTAGTACGCTACATGGGTACTTACTGAAAGACGAGAGCACTATAGAGAGGGTTTTATAAAATAAGAATCGTGGGAGGTACAGTAACCTCATGGATAGTGCACATGACTCTGGATCAACCAGTGACAGGTTTAAGCCCTTGAGCCAACTTACTATCCCAGAGTGGCTAGCCTAAAACATCGATATCTGGGAGATAATTTGCCCAATTTTTGACTCTTCCTAAACCCCCAAAATAGGAATATGCCAATTCAACATTTCCAAAAATTTTGCCAGAAATATATCCAAATTGAGAGTAAAAATAGGTGCTTTAAGCACCCTCCTTCATATCCGTGAGATTTGGCGAGTAGCTCAATTCACGAGGAGCAGTGGCCTTATGGTTAGTGTGCTCATCTCTGGATTAAACAGTCTGGGTTTGAGACCTGGCCGGGGTCATTGTGTTGTGTTCTTGGGCAAGACACTACTCTCACAGTGCCTCTCTGCAAGCAGGTCTTTAAATCAGGCTACTGACAATTTTAATGCTGGGGGTAACTCTGCAATGGACTAGCAGGTGGAGTAGAAATACTCCTTGTTACTAAGAGCTATAGTACATCAGAAACTGGAAATAAGTACCCACCTGGCCTATTTGGAGACTTAACCTTATAAATAAGAATAGGTGCACTTATTGAAGAATGGGTACGGCTACCCCAGGATTGAGGGTTAGAATAAAGGGCTGCTAAATCAAATTGTGGGACGGTGAAAAGTACAACCCAAACTTTGGACCATCCTGCCACATAACCTCCATTATTATACCAGGGTTGGCAAAAGGAGCCGGCTCCCAGCAAAATTCACCTTTTACTTCATTATCTCAGCTCACTACTCCAGAGAGGCCAATCTGCAAAAATTAAAGTCTGGGAGATCACCAGATTTTTGCCTCTTCGGTAACCCACTGAAAATAGGATTATGAAAATTATCTTTCCAAATCAACAAAAATAAGACTTATTTTTAGTGTGAAAATATATACTTTAAGAACCTTCCTTCTTGTCTGGGGAGATTTGGTGACCAGACAGGACTGACAAGTAGATTTGTTCTACAACAGGAAAACTTAGATGATCAGATCTATCCTTCTGTCATTCTTTAGCAAAGAAGGTAAAAATCAGCTGTTGCTCAAACAATAGGTAACGTTAAGTCTGCACGCAAGCCAAGTGGCTCATCAGGCCAGAGCTGATCCCCATTTCAGTAGCATGAACGGACAAGGAGTATTTCTACCCCTCCTTGGATGGGATGCTGGTCCATCACAGGGTTATCCCCAGCAGTAAATTTACCGGTACCCATTTACACACCTGGGTGGAGAGAGGCACTGTGAGAGTAAAGTGTCTTGCCCAAGAGCACAACAGATTGTCCCTGGCCAGGGCTCCAACCTGGAACGCTCACTCCGGAGTCGAGCACACTAACCATGAGTCCACTGCGCCTCCCATGCTCAAACAATAAAACCAGTGAAACAACCGTGTTTAAATTCAGACTTTCTTTTGGTCCAAATAAAACTTAAGTCAGTCATTGTAAGGAAGTTGCAACCGCTAAATGTCGCGATTATTTTTGTCAATTACAAGCTGCAATCATGCCAAGCAAGACAATCTTGTTACCAAGACTACACATCACAATTACCTGTCTACAACGGAGGCCCCATTGAGGTGCTTATTTTTGGCCTAAATATCCCGTAGATATCCCAATAATTCTAATTTCAAACATAATCGATTTTCTGACTTAATATCCCGAAATATCTGTTCTATAAATATCTTGTATCGCATTATTTTTTTTTTTCCTGAGATATCCTGTATCCTTTAAATTTTTTACCTAAATATCCCAACCCGCTCATAAATTACTTTGAATTTACACTGTATCAAAAGGTTTATCAATAGCAGTTGCATTACTGAATTTGCCGATGTTTGATACGTTATGGAATTTGGTACTCTTCATTGCAAACACCCAGAACTACATGTACTGTTTTTGTGATGCGTGACATTTCGTCACAAAACAACGCCGAAATATTCAAGTGCGATAAGCCGTTTTAAAAACAATTTTGGATAATCTTGAAATGAAAACTGCGTGAAAGATCTTTTTCACTGGTGATTATCGTGCCAATTTAACACGAGCGATAGGTTTTTTCAAGCCGTTCCCGCCAACTACGGGAGAAAATAGCAAGATGCCGAATGTAAATGCTATATCAATAAAATAAATAATTACTTAAAGAAAGGTAGGTACCGATCTAATATTAGATACCGATGTCGGTTAATATAAGCTTAAATTTATTTTCGCCAAACCTTTTCCAAGCTTAAGCATGCGTCTAACTCTCGATGAGAGCAGAAAGAGAGCAGAAACCAGCAACAGCCCCAGAGACCATCTTCGAATCTTTCGCGGGATACACTGAAGAAAGCGTCTGGCCTTGAGTTTCATTAGTGATACAAGATAGTACGCCATCTCGGAGATATCCACTGCCGGTGAGTGGTGAAATCAATCTCATCCATTTCTTTAGTGACACGAAAATAGGGTAAAGTAGCGGACAGGACCGACTTTACTTACGGACACGTTTGCAGTGAATAAAGAGCCTGGGGTCCTTTGTGTGAATGTTCATCCGGGGACTGTATGTCAGTCATCTCCCGCCAGGGGATATTGGGCCCAGACTGATATTTAGCTGTGTCCTAAATGATTATCATGGATACCAGTCTTCTACTATCCATGATTATTATGTAAGAGCGCAGAACCCAGGCCTGACAGCTTCACCGCTGTCACAGTGATTTGGGTATCCCCGTGTTTTGGGTACCCCCGTACCCAAATCCCTAGTGATTTGGGTATCCCCACTGGGGATACCCAAAACACTGAAAGCTTAAAACTGGGGCAAGTGAAATCATCCACAAGTCTGTTCAAAACCCAATTATCTTCTTACTAAGCTTTGTCTCAATAAATTAAAGCGTTATTTTACTTGATATAAAGACAATAACGTCGCTGAAAATAGTCGAAATTTAGAACAGACTGTCTGATCCGAGTCCGCAGTATAACGACATACAGAACCGAATTTGCGCGCCAAAGTGCCTTGTATGAACATGCTCTTGGTGCCTATCGATAACCCTTGCAATGCCGTTATTTTAAACACGAAAGGCACATTCTAAACCTCGCATAGTTCGGCGATTAAATTTAATCAATATGCGAACGAACACACTGAGATACGGCCGTCACGCAATATGCAGACTAGTCTCAAGCTGTGACTGACCTCTGTGTATGCTGCCTGTCTGAAATAAATTTTATCTTAGACTTGTCTATTTATCGCTCTTTCCTTGACCATCCCTCCCATTAGATTTTGCTGGCGAACAGTTCTCTATGCCATTTACCGAGGTTTTCTTTCCTTTGTTCTGGGAAGAAATCCAAAATAAGTATAAATAGAGTGGACAAGACTTAAATCTTTGGACAGGGGAAACTAGTAAAAGTAGGATACCCAAATCCCTAGTGATTTGGGTATCCCCTTCTGAAGTGTTGGCTTGCAATCATTTCTTTAATTCAGGGTAGCCAAATCGACCGAAGATAGAAAGGCAAAGCAAACTTGCAAAGTCGAAAGTCAATCAAGAGAGAAAAGGACTAGAAATGCTAAATTGTAAGGGATACCCAAATCCCTAGTGATATTGGTATCCCCTTCTGGAGTGTTTATTTGTTATTGTTTCTTTAATTCAGGGTAGCCAAATCGACCGAAGATAAAAAAGCAAAGCAAACTTGCAAATACGAAAGTCATTCCAATGAGGAAACGACTAGAAATGCTAAAACGTAGGGGATGCCCAAATCCCTAGTGATATGGGTATCCCCTTACAATATGTTTATTTGAACAAATAAACACACTGGGAGGGGATACCCATATCACTAGGGATTTGGGTACCCCTTACATTTCAGCATTTCTAGTCCTTTCCACATCGGGATGACTTTCTTCTTTGCAAGTTTGCTTTGTTTTTTATCTTCGGTTGATTTGGCTACCCTGCATTAAAGAAGCGATAACAAATAAACATATTGGAAGGGGGTACCCATATCACTAGAGATTTGGGTATCCCTTAATTTTTCGCATTTCTTGTGACCTTTCTCCCCTTCAACGCCTTTCGTCTTTGAAAATTTGCTTTGCCTTTTTAATCTTCGATCGATTTGGCTGCCTGAAGTAAAGAAACGATAACAAACAAACACCCTAGAAAGGGATACCCATATCACTGGGGATTTGGGTATCCCTTACGTTTCAGCATTTTGATCTAGTCTTTTCCTCATTAGAATTAATTTCGTCTTTGTAAGTTTGCTTTGCCTTTTAGATTTGGCTACCCTAAATTAAAGAAACAATAAGAAGCAGGCACATTGCAA